TACAGGATTCTGTATTTCAAAAGGTCTCAGCCAGGCATGGTGGCAGACCGTAGTAGAATCCCAGTGCGTGGGAAGTGGAAACAGAAAAATCAGACATTCAAGGCAGCTCGGGCTACATGAACTCCTGACTCCAGAACAAAAAGATATCTGGGGGTTTCTGAAGACCTCACTCTGAGGACCACTGCATTATGTTCTTCTGTAAGCCCGGTGGTGGCCTTTTCTTGGGGTAGACCCTCTCGTGCCTTCAGAACAAAATCAACCTTTTTAGCTGATGCCAACTTTGTAGAAGAGAAACCCTAAACACCATTTGAGGCATGAACTAGTGGCACCCAGCACTGTGACAAACAAGCCAGCCCCCAAAACATAACCTAAACGGAAAAAAGGTTTATTTCAGCTCACCATGTCCATGGCCACTGGGTTCCATTTGTCTCAGGGCTGGTGTGTGCTGATGCAGAATACATGACAGAAGTCTCTGGTGAGAGTACAGTGGCTTGTCTTGTGGCAGACCAGAGGCCTAGAGAGATAAAGAGTTGGTTTCCTCCTCTTTGGCTTCTGCTCCTTCTGAGCTTCTTCTCCCCTCTTCTGGGCTGTCTTCTCCCTCAGTAGTGATGCCACAAGAATGGAGTTCACAGACAAACCCAGAAGTGTACTTGCAGTAGTTAAGAGTCTGGTGTTTCCTGTTCATTTGTGGTTGGACCTAAGCTAGCTGGCACCAGATGGGCTTTCCAACCGAACCAAGCTCTGGTCCACAAGATGTGGGTGGTAGAACTTAGAACTTAATGCTACTTTAGAGGGCATCCTTTTGAAGGAGGGCATGGTAGTCTGCTCTCAGCTTATGACTCTGGCTGAATAGATAGACGTTTTACAATGGAGAGAGGACACCGTATGGAGCAAAGGCAGCAAGACAGGATGTACTAGGTCCCGACACACATTACTGCTATTCCTGTCTAGACTGTAGGCCTTGACTATTAGGATAAGAGATAAATTATCACATTGAGGCCACTGCTATGTAGCTTTCAGTTATAGCCAAATGGATCCTGTTTGGTGTGTCTGGACCACTGGCTCCTAAGAGCAGGTTTTTGTTTGTTTGTTTTTTGTTTTTATGAGTGTATTTCCCTGCATGTATGTCTGTGTACCATGTGTGTGCCTGGTGCCCAGAGGTCTGAAGAGGCGTCATCAGATCTCGTGGAACTAAAGTTTTGAGTGGTTGTGAGTCTCCCACACGGGTGCTGGGACATGAACTTGGATCCATCAAGTGTCTTTAACGGCTGAGCTCTCTCCAGCCCCTAAAGGAAGTATTTTGAAAACTCACTAGAAATGTCTTCTTCCAGAATAAACAACAAGAGGAGAAGTGCTCGATGGGCTTTACGGCTTTGCTACTCTGAAGCTCTCTTATATTGCTTGCTAGAGTGCTCATGGCATGATCCACAGACAGGAGAACACGACTGGAAAAACTGGTCTCGTTTCTCCTGAGGCCCCTTACCTTGGCTTACAGATCCAGTGTCCCACAGCATTCTTAGATGGATTCTGTGTGTACGAATGTCCCTAGCGTCTTTTTATATGTGTCAAATCTCTTCCTTTGCTTATATAGATCCTTGTAACAGTGGTATTTCAACTTAATTGTTTCTTCTAATTAAAAAATTGTTTCTTCTTGGCTGGACATAGTGGTGCACACCTTTAATCCCGACCTTGGGAAGTATAGGCAGATGAATCTTTGTAAGTTCAAAGCCAGCCTGTTGGTCTATAAAGCAAGTTTCAGGACAGTCAGGGCTACACAGAGAATCCCTGTCTCAAAAACAAAAACAAAACAGTATTTGTTTGTGTTTTTAAAAGATTTTTTTTTTTTTACGTATGAGTGCTCAACCTGCACATACGCCTGTGTGCCAGCAGAGGGCATCAGACTCCAGTATAGACTGGTTGTGAGCCACCATGTGGTTGCTGGGTATTGAACTCAGGACCTCTGGAAGAACAGGCAGTGCTCTTAACTGCTGAGCCATCTCTCCAATTCTTGTTTGTTTTTATATTACTTCATATAGAACCCAGGGCTCCTTGCAGGCAAGGCTAATGGTCTAACATTGAGCTGCATTCCAGCCCAACTTAATTATTCCTTTAAGGGACATATCACAGGACTGAGGCTATGGATCAGTTGGTAGTATGCTTACCTAGCATGTACAAAGGCCCTGGGTTCTGTCCCTAGCACTGTACAAAATGTAACCCATGCACTAGGGAGATACAAGCAAGCAGGAGGATCAGAACTTACAAAGTCACCTTTGTTTGCGTAGTGAATTCAAAGCCAGCCTGGGCTACATGAAACCCTGACATACATACATACATACATACATACATACATACATACATACATACATAGTGAATGAATAAATAAATACTTGAATTAAAAGGTCTATATCCAAATACTGTTATATTTTGAAGTACCAGGGATTGATGCTTCAATATGCAAATCTAGTGTCACATACAACTTATCTCGGGAAACAACAAAGTAGACAGGTATAAGGACATTGATGTCATTGTCGAGCTGCTCAGCTAACCAGCCCTGAAAATACTCTCAGACTTCTGCTGAGCCACCTGGGGTTGGAGTTGGCTGTTTGATACAGCCAGAAGCCACACAACTCAGAACCACATGTTTGTTCAAGCTGCTCCCTCTGCTTAAAGTAAGTAAGCTAGCCTGCATTCACCCTTCCAGGCTGAGCAGGAATACCCTCCTCACACAAGCTGCTTGCTGTATAGCAGAGCTCTTCTAGGTAAGCTGCAATTGTTACATTTCCCTTCTCTGCCTAGGACTGCCATTGACAATAACCTCTTCTGCAGGTGCAGAGGTGATCTTTTATAATCCTCACCACCGCAGTCCAGGCAGCTGACGTAACTGGGGCTGAAGCCCGGCTGCCGCACTGACGATACTGACCGTGTGGCGAGGTCTGGCTCTGCTTGTCTTATTTTTGATTCACTGGCTGATTTTAGTAATGTGTGTTATTATTATGTTGCTGTTCCATTTTGTCCCGAGAACAGCTTTCTGAGGAAAGCACCTTTATTATCCTGCGTTTAACACATGAGGACTCTGAGGCTCTGAGACATGATGTAAATTGCTCAAGGTCACTCATGATTGAACCCTAGTCTTCTGTCTCTGGATGATTTACTGACACTAAGCACTTGATCAGATCATGGCTCTGGGGTGGGTTCAGCAAGCAACACGGAGACCATTTTCTCCTTCTAGTCATCTCCTTGTCCTAGTTGAGATTCCAAGCAGTGACATTTGGTCCTCTTAGTGATCCTTAGAATAAAATAAGGTCCAAATTTATAACCAAGAAGGCTGAGGCCCAGAGACAGGAAAGGGGTTCTAACAGCCAGTTACAGAAGCACCAGAGACCACCGTCACAACCTACTATAACGGCAAGGCTAGAACTAGACTGGCTCAAGGGGTAATTTAGCAGTTTTGATGCTCAGAGCAGAGTCAGGGATTGGCTGGCATATTCTGATCTCTTTTCATTGGCCCAACAGGCAGAGTGGAGGTCTCATGCTTCAGTGGTCAGACATGACTGACAGGACACAGGGCCTTAAGCGGAAGAGGCTGTAAGTCTGGCACCAAATTGCCTGGACCATTTCCTTTCTGCTGCATAGAGAGAGATAGGAATGGCTAGGGCTGTGGGTGGTCTATAGCTCCCACACCCAAGAGTGATGAGAGTCCGGACGTGGTATATCCGCCCTTTCAAAACTACCATGCAAAGAGTCCCAAGCCCTGGCACCTGCTGTTTACGATCTGTGGCCTCGTGTCTTCCATATCATAGAGGAGCAGTAGCAAAGAAGGACTTTGGGGATCACCTTTCCACTGCGAAGGTAGGGAAGCCTAAGCCCAGAGCTTAGAATATTCACTGCAGTCAGGGACATCAGCAAAGCAGTTCTAGAGCTCTGGCATCCAGAACCCAGGTGCTGTGGGAGGTGTTCATGGGCCACTCAGAACATCCCCAAGTGTGCCTGATAAGGCTTGCAGGAGGTTAGAGCCCCAGCAACACTGGAGGCTAGACTTCAGGTCCAGTGAGACTAGAAGCCCCGTGTTCTTATCCTCATTGTATGACATGAACCCCCACCCCCAATGCAGAATGCTTGCCGAGCACACCCCTCATGTGACCTTGACGGAACCTGCACTCAAGACTGTATTTTTTAAATTTATGCAGCTGAAATCATGGCTGCAGATATAGAGAGGAGTAAGGGAGATAAAATATGCCAAAAAGACAGGCAGCCCAGGAGCCACAGATAAGGAAATAGGATTTGTTTTTTTATTTATTCCTTTGCAGTGCTAAGGATAGAACCCTGGGCCTGCAGGCTGCTAGGTAAGTGCTCTACTACTGAGCAGTTCTAATAGTTACTATGTGTTGAGCACTTCATATGTTCCAGGAGCTCTCCTAAGTGTATCCTAGTCAAACTACTATGAGGTCAGGATGAATCTGGAAACTGAGGCACATGTGGTTAAGTAAGTAGCAGGCAGGCAGTCCCAGAGGCCCTCATACATATACCATCTCTTAAAAGTAAGGATTTATTATTATGATTATTATTATTATTATTATTACTACCTAATTTGCCTGGACATAGTCTGAAGCACTTTCCACCCACTTTCTCATTCATTTCTCAGAGAAAGACTGGGGTTTCTCCTGGTGTACACAAAGAAACAGGCAGCAGGCTTTGAAAGAGGCTTTTACTGTCTTACCTTGCCCAAAGTCATCCAGCAAAGTTGGTGGCAGACATAGGGAATGACCCAAATGTGATCTCCAACTCAGGAGACCCTTCCTCAGTTTGCTTCAAGGGCCAAGCCCCTTGGACGCCATGTTTGGCTCCCACCCCTTCAGTTACAGAGTTCAGAGGCAGTGCTCTCTATCTGCCCCCACCCCCACCGTCAGATGGGAGGGGCAGGAACTCTGGTACTGGTGGAGTTTCCGACCAGGCAGGAAAAAGAACAAAGGAAATGGAGGGGGGTCTGGAGGGGGCAGAGGGGGATGGCAGGAGCCGAGGAGCAGCTTCACCATGGAATACGAAGCCAAGAAAGGGAAGAAGGTAAGTGGGAGTTCCAGAGGGCCAGGCTTGAGAAATGTCTCTGCAGGTGGAGTAGAGAGGTGAGGGACATGGAGTTAGCAAACAGCACACAGAGTGGGGGGGGGGGGGGCTTCCTTCTCCTTTGGAAGGAAGTTTCTTTCTGTCCCCGACAGCCAGACAACTGGGTTTCCGTCTAAGTTTCAGTCTTTTGTTTTTTTTTTCTTAGTTCTTTTTTTTTTAAAAAAATGGATACTTTATTTATTTACATTTCAATGTTATAACCTTTCTGGTTTCCCCCTTGCAAGCCCCCTATTTCATTCCCCCCCTGCTTCTATAAGGGTGCTTCCCCACTCACCCACCCACCCACCCACTCACTCCCACCTTATGGAACTAGCATTCCTCTACACTGGAGCATCAAGCCTTCACAGGACCAAGGGCCTCCCCTCCCATTGACACCAGATAAGGCCCCTTCAGCTCCTTCAGTCCTTCCCCAATCTCCTCCACTGGGGTCCTTGTGCTCAATCCATTGGTTGGCTGCAAGCATCTGCATCTGTGTTGGTCAGGATCTGGCAGAGCCTCTCAGGAGACAACTGTATTAGGCTCCTGTCAGCAAGCACTTCTTGGCATCCGCAATAGTGTCTGGGTTTGGTGTCTGCATGCGGGATGGGTCCCCAAGTGGGGCAGTCTCTGGATGGCCTTTCCTTCAGTCTCTGCTCCACACATTGTCTCTGTATTTCCTTTAGACAGGAGCAATTCTGGGTTACAATTTTGGAGATGAATGGGTGGCCCCATCCCTCAACTGGGCCATGCCTTACCTCTGGATATGGTCTGGACAGGTTCTCCCTCCCCTTTGTGGGTTATTTCAGCTAATGTCACCCCCGTGGGGTCCTAAGAGTCTCTTGTTTTCCTGGCATCTGGGACTTTCTGGTTGCTACCCCTAGTTCCCCATCCCCCCTTGCTACACACCTCTGTTCAATTTCTTGACCCTGAACATCTCCTTCTGTACCTGATTTTTCTCCTCTTTTCCCCCTCCCCCTTTCTTTTCCTCCCAAGTCCCTCCCACCCTCTACTTCCTTGATTATTTTGTTCCTCCTTCTAAGTAGGACTGAAGCATCCACTCTTTGGTCTTCCTTCCTCTTGAGCTTCATGTGGTCCATGAGTTGTATCGTGGGTATTCCACAATCTTTGCCTAATATCCACTTATCAGTGAACACATACCATGTGTGTTCTTTTGTGACTGAGTTTCCTCACTCAGGATGATATTTTCTGGATCCATCCATTTGCCTGCAAATTTCATGAAGTCATTGTTTTTAGTAGTTGAGTAATTATACTTCATTGTGTAAATGTACCACATTTTCTGTATCCATTCTTCTGTTGAGGGACATCTGGGTTGTTTCTGGCTATTATAAATAAGGCTGCTATGAACATAGTGGAGCATGTGTCCTTGTTATATGTTGGAGCATCTTTTGGGTACATGCCCAGGAGTGGTATAATGGGTCCTCAAGTAGTACTATGTTCAGTTTTCTGAGGAACTGCCAAATTGATTTCCAGAGTGGTTGTACCAGCTTGCAATCCCACCAGCAATGGAGGAGTGATCCTCTTTCTCCACATCCTTGCCAGCGTCTGCTGTCACCTGAGTTTTTGATCTTCACTGAGGTGCATTTCCTGTATGCAGCAAAATGCTGGGTCCTGTTTACATATCCAGTCTGTTAGTCTATGTCTTTTTATTGGGGAATTGAATCCATTGATGTTAAGAGATATGTTAAGAGATTATTGCTTCCTGTTATTTTTGTTGTTAGAGGTGGAATTATGTTTGTCTGGCTATCTTCTTTTAGGTTTGTTGAAAGAAGATAACTTTCTTGCTTTTTTTTTAGGGTGTAGTTTCCCTCCTTGTGTTGGAGTTTTCCATCTATTATTCTTTGTAGGGCTGGATTTGTGGAAAGATATTGTGTAAACTTGGTTTTGTCATGGAATATCTTGGTTTCTCCATCTATGGTAATTGAGAGTTTTGCTGGGTATAGTAGCCTGGGCTGGCATTTGTGTTCTCTTAGGGTCTGTGTGACATCTGCCCAGGATCTTCTAGCTTTTATAGTCTCTGTTGAGAAGTCTGGTATAATTCTGATAGGTCTGTCTTTATATGTTACTTGACCTTTTTCCCTTATTGCTTTTAATATTCTTTCTTTGTTTTGTGCATTTGGTGTTTTGACTATTATGTGACAGGAGGAATTTCTTTTCTGGTCCAATCTATTTGGAGTGCTGTAGGCTTCTTGTATGTTTATGGGCATCTCTTTCTTTAGGTTAGGGAAGTTTTCTTCTCTAATTTTGTTGAAGATATTCACTGGCCCTTTAAGTTGGGAATCTTCCTTCTCTTCTATACCTATTATCCTTAGGTTTTGTCTTCTCATTGTGTCTTGGATTTCCTGGATGTTTTGGGTTAGGAGCTTTTTGCATTTTACATTTTTTTTATTGAAAATTATTTTATTCAAAGATTAATAAGCTTTCATAAATTATTATTATTTTTTTGGAATTGGTGATGAGTTTTATTTATTTATTTATTTTCTCAAATCATAATTAATTCACCCAGGGGTATAAACACAGAAAGGCAGGACGTGGGGAAGGGAATGACACTGAAGTGTGGGTGTTCAGGGGGAATACAGATATCTTCAGAACCGGGTATCGGCTGGGTGAAGGTTCAGGGGACAGGTCACTATGACTCTGCCTATGACTCGCTTGTCCCCATCTAAGCTGGTATTATCTGCCAAGGCTACCTAATTACAAGGTCCATGACCACTCAGGCTTATAAATTTCCACAAAAGCTGCCTGGCATTTTGCATTTTCTTTGACTGTTGTGTAAATGCTTTCTATAGTATCTTCTGCACCTGGTATTCTTTCTTCTCTCTTGTATTCTGTTGGTGATGCTTGCATCTATGACTCCTAATCTCTTTCCTAGCTTTTCTATCTCCAGGGTTGTCTCCCTTTGTGATTTCTTTATTGTTTCTATTTCCATTTTTAGATCCTGGATGGTTTTGTTCAATTCCTTCACCTGTTTGGTTGTGTTTTCCTGTAATTCTTTCAGAGATTTTTGTGTTTCCTTTTTAAGGGCTTCTACCTGTTTATCTGTGTTCTCCTGTATTTCTTTAAGGGAGTTATTTATGTCCTTCTTAAAGTCCTCTATCATCATCATGAGATGTGATTTTACATCAGATTCTTGCTTTTCTGTTGTGATGGGGTATCCAGGACTTGCTATGGTGGGAGAACTGGATTCTGATGATGCCAAGTAGCCTTAGTTTCTGTTGCTTGTGTTCTTGCCCTTGCCTCTTGTCATCTGGTTATCTCTGGTGTTAGCTGGTCTTGCTGTCTCTGACTGTGGCTTGTCCCTCTGTAAGCCTGTGCGTCAGTACTCCTGGGAGACCAGCTCTCTCCCGGTGGGACTTGGTTATGGAGAATTGTGGTACAGGGTCAGCTCCAGGTGAAGATAGAAATCAGCCTAAAATTCAGTCTTAGTGGCCTCTGTCACACTTGTACTGAGAGACAGACAGGGTCTTCCTGGGAAATCTGCTTCTTAGACATTCTGATGGTAGCTTCCTGCAGCCTCTCAGAGAAAGGGACAGACAGACACTCAGACCTTCCTTCCCTGCTCACCCAGCCAAGGTGATTATAGGTTGGCAGATTGCCCAATCCAGGCTGGGGCCTCCCACCTATTCCCTGCCTGCTGCCTCCCAAGCTACACCTGCCCTCCCCACTTTTGTGCAAAAACCTCACTCCTGAGACCTCAGCTTAAGCCATCCCAAGTCCTCTCTCCGCCTTCCTCCTTTTCTGAATTTGAGAGGTTTTCCCACTTAGTACTAACCTAGCTCCCATTGTACCCTCAACCACACAGAGCTCTCTCTGCCCAAGAAATGGGATTCAGAATGTTTTATTAGGTACTCACATGAGTCTAGTACAGGCCTATTCTGGAGGCTGAGGCAGGAGGATTACAAGTTTAAAGTTAGTGTGGGTAATTTATTAAGAACCTGTCTCAAAATTTTAAAAGTGGGCCGGGTAGGGTAGCTGGTGAGATAGCTCAGTGGTTAAGAGCACTGACTGCTCTACCGGAGGTCATGAGTTCAAATCCCAGCAACCACATGGTGGCTTACAACCATCTGTAGTGAGATCTGATGCTCTCATAGGAGTAAGCAGGGGCCAGGAGCGTGTGGGGCTGAAGCAAGAGAGAGAAGGGAAGGGGGAAAACATTTTTAAAAAAAAATGTGGGCTGGGTGGGTGTCATTCCTTGGCTGAACACTTATCTAGCATGCTAGGTCCCAGGTTGATACCCTAAACGGCAAACTGATGATAAGAATTTTAAGTGCGCCGGGCGGTGGTGGCGCACGCCTTTAATCCCAGCACTTGGGAAGCAGAGGCAGGCGGATTTCTGAGTTCGAGGCCAGCCTGGTCTACAGAGTGAGTTCCAGGACAGCCAGGGCTACACAGAGAAACCCTGTCTCGAAAAACCAAAATAAAAAAAAAAAGAAAGAAAAGAAAGAATTTTAAGTGCAAAGAGGGCTGGAGGCATACAGCTCAGAGGTATATGTGCCCCATGTGACTCACTGGGGCAGACATGCACACACTCTTATGGGTCTATGTGTTTATTTAGGGGACAAGGTCTCACCAGGTAACCCAGGCTGATCTTGAAAACTCACTATGTAGCTCAGGCTGGCCTCAAACCCACAGCAATTCTCCTACCTCAGCCTCCTGAGTGCTAGAATCACCCAGTGAGGTCCACTTGACAGATGCTCTCCTAGATGACAGCCCATCTTGTTTGTTCCTGTTTTTCCACAAAGCTAAGTAGCATGCCACACGTGCCACCAGAATTTATGGTTTGCTTTAGAAACTGCCAAAGCAGTTCTAGAATGTCATAGGGGATGGGAGCCACTCAATTGCTGCCTCCAGGGCTTCAGATTCCATTGGTCTAGGATGAGATCCAGGAAACAGCATTTCTCTCAAATTCTCTTGATCCATCCTGGGTGTTTTTATATCGGTGTCTCTGGATTATACTTACATTTATTTATTGTGTATTTCTAACTCACAAACAGGCCATAGCTTCATGCCCAGGCATCCTCCACTTAGCCCCAGGCCTTGGCCATTCTTTGAATCTGGCTGGCAGGCGTTCACCCTCCCTGGGTACTTAAATGCAGGTTGGGGACTGGGACACCCCACCTGCTGCTGTTCTTTCTAGCTCTCAGTCTGGAGCTTCTTTGCTTCTCCATCTGAGAAAGGGGAGTGCACAGGGCTGCACCTCCCACAGTTTTTAGGAGGATTGACTTAGGTTGTGGAAGTAAAACTGAACTCATAAAGCCAGTGCTGTAGTTATTGGGACTTTCCTGTCTCCACCAGGGCTTTGTGTCCCCCATCCGAAGGCTGGTGTTCCCCAAGGCTGCGCGCCAGGCTGCCTTCAGAAACAATGTCAGTCGCAGGCCCCTGCACTCTATGCCTCTTTATCCTCCAGACTACCTCATTGACCCCCACATCCTGCTGTGTGATTACCTGGAGAAAGAGGTCAAGGTGAGTGGGACAAAGGGTCGGGGTGGGCTTGGAGGCACACCAAGCTCAGCTACACCTTGTGTCATGTGAGGGAAGCCTCCTACCTTACTGCTACAGGCTGCAGACCCTCAGCAGGAGAGTGACACCCACTCAGTGGGCTCCAAAATTTCTGCCCCAACATGGGGCTCAGAAGCCACCTCCACAGGAGACCAAGTGGGGGAACTGTGCTGTGTTCCCAAAACCTCAACCTACTCATGAGACTTCTGTCTGAAGGCTTCCTGTTTATTCAGTGTCCAAGTTAAGAGCAAGCAAGATGCTGGGCTTGTGGCTTGGTGCTAGAGCACTCACCCAGCATCCTGGCATTCTGGAGGCCCCAGGCTGCACATCCAGCACAGGAGGCAGGTCTAGGGCATGGAGGGTGGAGATAGGTAGACACCATAATGGACTCTCTTACTTCTCAAAAGCTTTACTTCTATTTTAGAACCACCGTGAAGGAGCATTGGGTAGGTTACCAGATCTTCATCAGCCAAAGATTGGTGTGAGGTGAGATTAAGGTATTGAACAAACAGGCTACTTGGTCAGATTTGAATTGCAGATCAGCAGTGATTATTTCTTTAGCATAAATATGCTCCGCATGTTAAATAGAGCTAAATAGGTATCAAAAAAAATCCTAAAAACAAAATTGTTGTTTAACTGACATCTTGTATTTTATCTGGCAACTCTATAAATAAAGAAAAGCTAGAAAAAGAATGTGTTTAAAACCCAAGGGCTGAAAGTTTACAGAATAAAAAGATGTGAGTGGTGAATTCACCCAGAATCTTGCAATTAAAGCAATAAAAAGTTAATTCTCATACTGAATAACAATTAAATGATAATGTTGTTATAACTGAGAATGCATGAGCACTCGTATATTGATTGAGAATGTCTTTTTTCTAATGATGTGTCAATTCAATGCTTCTTTCCATTTAATCTGCAGTGAGGTTGTTAAAAGGATTAATAAGGCATGAGGTGGGGAGAGGCACTGGGCACGGAAAGTCCCGGGGATCCTTCACGTTTTAATAGTAGAGCCTGGCCTGGGGCAGGCGTGGAGAGGGGAATGGTTTGATGGATAAAGTACTCGCTGGTAAATTTGAGGACCACAGTTTCTATCCCCCAAACCCTTGGTTTTTTTTTTTTTTTTAAAGTTTTTTTTTTAAGAAAGATTTATTTATTTTATTTATGAGTACACTGTAGCTGTCTTCAGACACACCAGAAGAGGGCATCAAATCTCATTACGGATGGTTGTGAGCCACCATGTGGTTGCTGGGATTTGAACTCAGGACCTCTGGAAGAGCAGTCAGTGCTCTTAACCTCTGAGCCATATCTCCAGCCCGCCCCCAAACCCTTGTAAAGCCAGGCATATGCAAAGCATGCTCCCGTGGTCCTGAAAACCCTGCGGTATGGAGATGGGAGGTGGGGATGGGAGAAGCCCTGGAAACTCAGGAGCCTGAGTCTGGCATGTGAAGTACAGACAAGAGGCTCTGGCTCAGGCAATGCGGAAGGCAGGAGCTCACCCCTGACTGCCACACAGGTGCTATGGCATATGCCTGCGCTCACAGGAACACACACACACATACACACACACACACACACACACACACACAATGATAGAGTCTGAACTAGCATGCAAAGAGGCTCTAAATCTGATCTTCAACATGGCTGTGGGGTGGGGGAGGGAAGCACTATATTAGTGACCTTTACTTTCCTGGAGAGCCCCATACAATGAGGCGGCCATGTGTTAGTGTGTATAAGCTAACTGCTGGAAATGTGGGCTCTGGCGCAGGCATTCAAGCTTCCTCCCTACTTCACAAGAGTCTGATGTAGCCCAGGGAGGTCTTGAATTTGCTATGAAGCCTTGGACTCTTTGTCTGCTTGTTTGCTTGAACGGTGACCTTGGTCTAAGCACCCCAACTTCCAGTACAGGTTTCTCTGTGTAGCCCTGGCTGTCCTGGAACTCACTCTGTAGACCAAGCTGGCCTCAAACTCAGATTTACCTGCCTCCACCTCTCGAGTGGTGGGATTCAAGGAGTTCTTTGATACCATCACCACTCCCATGGCTGACTCTGGACTCTAAACTCCGTGCTTCCACCTCCCAAGTGCTGGATTACAAGCATGCTCTACCACAACTTGCCCAGCCATACTCTTTCTAGCTATAATCCTGAGCCAGGTTTTTAGTTAACTATACCACTCTGAGCCTTTTAATCCTTAAAGTAAACGTGAGTGGATGGGAAAGTATACACTTCCCTCTCCTATCCCAAATTTCCCAGAACTCAGGTGATCTGACCCACCCCACAGCAGCTCAAGAAGTTGCCTCTGAAGATCACACCGGGGATATATATATATGAGAGAGAGAGAGAGAGAGAGAGAGAGAGAGAGGTGTTAGTCAGGGTGTCAGGGTTCTTTAAGGGGACAGAACTGATGGAGGGGGATGAGAGGCTTACAGGCTGTGGTCCAGCCAGTCCAATATAGGCAGTCTTTAAACAGAAAGGTTAAGAATCTGATAATTGTTCAGTCTGTGAGACTATGTCTCAGCTGGTCTTCAGTCTTTGTGGAAATCCGGAAGAATTAGGATGTAACACCATTGAAGGAAAGCCTCAGCAGCAGAACAGACAAATTTGCAGTAAGATCGAGAGAAAGTAGGCAAAAGGTGAAAGCTTCCTTCTTCCATGTCCCTCTAAGTGGCTGCCACCAGAATGTGTGGCTCAGATTTAAAGTGGGCCTCTCACTTCAAATGATCATCCAATCAAGAGAATCCTTCACCGAGGTGCCAGCTACTTGGGTCTGACAAGTTGACAAGCAAAATTATCCATCATACAGGTTATTATTAATGTGAGTATTTCAGCCTGTCCTGCATTAACTTGGAGGCTAGAATCTCCCATTTCTCATCCAGTTTCTGGGTCACCTCACCTGGGTGACTTCCTCACTGAACCCCTCCAGCCGAGATGAGCTCCTGCAGCTGCTGGACACCGCCAGGGTAAGGCCCTGGGAAGGGAGGAGGACGGGGTCTCTCTCCCTTTCCCCTCTCCTACACCGAATTCTCGGGGGATTCAGGTGATCCGACCCACCCCGCAGCAGCTGAAGGAGTTGCCTCTGAAGACCACACCGGAGCAGGACAGCATCCTGAGCCTGTCTGCACGCTGCCTGCTGCTCACCTGGCGCGACAACGAGGAGCTCATCCTGCGCATCCCCACGCACGAGATTGCTGCTGCCTCCTACCTGCAGGACGATGCTCTGCATCTGCTAGTGCTTAAGACCGGTGCGGTGCTGGGGAGACCGGGTGGGAGGCCAACCTGCAGTGCTAGGATCATTGCATGTAGGCACCAGGGAAGGGATCCGAGGCTGGAAAAGGGATGGAAGAAAACCTGAGCGCACTATTCTAAGACTAAGGGCAGGCAGAAGAAACCACAGGTAAGACCAGAGAGCCGGGGGGTTAAGATGAGGAGTAGGCATCCTGACCAGATAGAGAAGGTTGGATAAGGCAGAGATGTTGGAGTCAAGAGTTCAACCTTAGTAGAATTCAACATTGAAGGGGGTAGGATTAAAAGACATAACTGCTTGACTTTGATCTAACAGTAGGGGGCGCCCTGGCTAGGGGAGGAATCGGGTCTTGTGGGAGGTTTCAGGTCAGCAATCTGGAGCCGGGACTAAAGATAGCAGGGAAAGTCCTACTCGAAGGTGGAATGCTTAGACCAAGGTCACCGTTCAAATGAAGGGTACGGAGAAAGGGGACAAGTTGACTACCACTCTCAACCCAGAAAGCAAGTTTGAGAAGCTCTTTAGGGTGTGTTGGGGAGGGTGGAAACTCTGTGGCTGCCATCTGGAGGTCTGGGGCGGAGCCAAAGCCGGAGGCGGAGTCATAGGCTTAGGGTAGGAGCTAGAGCTAGCAAAACCACGAGGGAGCTTAGTGCTGGGCGGGGCCTTAGCTCAAGGAACCTCGGAGCTGCGAGGTAGCCCTCCGAGTGGCCCCTGAAAGCCGCGATCTCCTGCTGCTGAACTCCAAAACCCCGTCCTTCCCTAGGTCTGGGCGTGGACCCGGTGCCGGCAGGCATGGACGGCAGCCCCGGAGGTTCAACGGGTCGGGATTCCGGCCCTCCAGGCGCCGTGCCCGAGAAACGACGGGTGGGCACAGCCGAGCGACGCCACACCATCTGCAGCCTGGACTGGCGCGTGGCGTGGGGCGGGGGCGCGGGCGCCGAGGCCCGGGCGGCAGGAGGCGGCGGCAGCCTGGAGCGGCAGCGCGCGGGAGTGAGGGCGTCGGGTAGCTGGGAGCGGCGACAGACGTTCAGCGGCAGCTGGGAGCGGCGGCACGCGGGCGGCGGCGCGGGCAAGCCGGGTGGCAGCTGGGAGCGGCGGCAGGCGAGTGGCGGCGTCGGCGGCAGCTGGGAGCGACGCCACCCCGGCCCCAACCCACTGGACCCCCAGAACCACAGCCCCGACGCCTACTGCAACCTGGTCATCCTGGCTGTGGCAAACAGGGTGAGCGCCAGGCAGTGTTGGCACCACCGCCGCCGTGACAGTCACTATCACACTAATCACACCACATGTGAAGCCCCGACCCTAGACAGACAGAGGACAACATTAACATTTAATCCCCACAGCAGCCCCTAGGGCGAATATGACATCTAGTCCCATTCCTTAGGAAGGGAAGCAGGCTCAAAGTTTTGGTAACTAGAAGTCCTGCGGAAAGCAGGTGGCTTCAAGATTCAAACCCAGAAAGTTCAAAGCCTTTCTCTTGGTAACCAACTAAAGAAAAAGCTTTGCCATCATTCTTGCCTGTCCTACCTGCCTATCACCTTCCTGTCCTCATTCACCCTTGTCCTCACTCACTTGATATGATAATATAGTTGTTTTTGTTGTAGTCTTTCGAAATAGGGTTCCTCTGTGTAGTCCTGGCTGTCCTGGAACTCACTCTGTAGATCAGGCTGGCTGCCAACTCAGAGATCCACCTGCCTCTGCCTCCTGAGTGCTGGGAGTAAAGGTCCACACCTCCATGCCTGGCTTGATGGTATTTATTGAGTGCCAGCTGTGTGCCCCACATTGGTAGGTGCTGTGGGCAAGAAGAGCAGGCCGTTTGGCATCCTCCCTTAAGGAGCACCCAGTCTAGCCAGTACTCTCAAGCCTTGAGCCTTCCCAGCGTTTCCTCTGCTCTGGGTTCCAGGGCTCTTTCTGAAGAATGAGTGTGCCTGTCTACAGGGAGAGGCGGTCAATCCAAGGAAATACAGCTCAGTGGCTTACAACCCCACCCTGAGATACCATCCAGCCCTCCTTTCCTGTTCCCCCACTCTCACCCTGTGTTCCTTCTTAGAAGCTGGTACTTCCTTTCTTTCTAGCCTCTTAAAGTCGGGGTGGTCCAGACATTATCCTCAGTCTTTTCTCCTTTATCCACACTTGTCTCTAGGTGACTTCTACTCTGCTGCCTTCTAAAATCCGGAGAACACTCTGAATTCCACCTCTAACCAAATCTCTGCTCCTCCTGTCTTTTCCAGGGTCTTCTTCTCATTATGAATGAATTTGTTCCAAGCTGAGCCCCCAGCCTCCTCTCAAACCTGAAGTGTCTTCATCTGCATGTTTCATTGAACGGCAGCTCCAGCCTTGGTGACTCAGGCTGAAACCTTGCAGTGGTCCTTGGTGTCTGTCTCTCCCCCTCCCTCTTTCTCTCTCTGTCTCTCTCTCTCTGTCTCTCTCTCTCTCTCTCTCTCTCTCTCTCTCTCAGTCTACTCTGTCAATAAATTCATTGTTCTTATTTTTAAATATAATCAAACCTTATGTCCATACTGTTCACTGTCCATACCTAGCTCCATGGTCTCTCTGCATGGATAACGTTGCCATGCCCCACCCAACTGGCTCAGCCCTTCCTTACACTCTGTACTCCCCTGCCTCATCCAACACAGCCTCATCCTGGAAACTTGACCAGGACGATGAGGAAATGAAAAGGGGCACCCAGGTGTGCAGAAAAGCTAGGATCACGAGGGTTGTGCTGGCTCTGGTAGAGGTGAGTGAGTTGTGTGTCAGGGGATGGAGGAAGAGACCCAGTTTCAACAGGAAAAATTAGTTTGTATTGTTTAAACTGAAGCGAGGATAGATCCAAGGGCCGGAAAACCGGACAGGCGACACTGTGCCTTGGCTCTCCCACTTAGCTCCGGGGTTTTGTTGGTCCTGGCCTGGTGGTAGAATGAATAAGTAAATGAGTTGCTTTCCAAGTGTCTGAGCCTCTGGCCTCCTGTCAGAGGCAAAGTGATCTCACACACAATGATCAGAGTTAAACCCCCCAACGCCAGCATTACAATTACAGCCTTGGGCCTGTGGTGAATCCAGACAGATCACACAACTCCATTAAGCCTCTGAGCATTCAGCTATAACATGAGGATCCTCTCTGCCCTGTCTACTCCAGGGTAAGGTTTGATCCTGGTTTAAATAGTGGTACCTGCGATGACACAGATACCCACCCTGAGTTACAGTTTAACGTTTACCTCAGGATTTTTAGAGGTGCCAAAGGCAGGATCTTCATAAGCATGGCCTTTGTCAATGTTACTGCTTTCTGTGTCTCTCGCTTGAAGAGTGGATTCCTCCTCAAATGTGCAGTCTCCAAAGCTCTGGCCAAGCCCCTCTTCCTTCCACCAGGGACACTATTATTGTTTTGCTTCCACCATTGCATTGGGCATTGGGCAGCTCATAGCCATATCCTATGTCCAGTAGTAGTAATGACAGCACTGAGCCTACAATTTTGATTCTCTGAAGTGTCCCTCCTCCTACTGCTCCCATCTCCACACTGGGCTTCAGCTTCTGTGCCTGTACATTTAGTTAAACGAGCCCTTATGCTGGATAAATTTCATGATAGGCCATGAATCCCCTGGAAACCTGGAATGTACTTTCACAGCAGAGGATTTTGAGTTACCTCTAGATTCTATAAAAGGGTCATAAGAACAAGAGAGGAGCCATATAATTTTGAGGGGAAATGACTTTGAAATTGGCTTAAGATGTGCGTGTCAGCACTGGCTCACACTGCATCTGAGGTCATAGGAGTGCCCTGGGGGTGGGTAAGAGCCTGAGATCTCTTCCTTCCCCTGGACCAGGATGCTGCTGAGGAGTCCTGTGCGCTCATCTGTCAAGTCTTCCAGATCATCTACGGGGACCAGAGCATCGAGTGTGTAGACCGGGCTGGCTACCACTACAGATCCACACCAAAGCGGCCGTGGCTCTCCAGCTGCAGTGCGTATCCAAGCTCCCACAAAGCACTGGGAGAGGCTGGATGTCCTGACAGTCAGGGCTGATGAAGGCCTATAGGAGTTGGACCCTGATCTGAGCTGGATCCCGGTCCTAGGGGTCCACTTGATAGAATGTCATTCTTCTTGATGTCCTCTTCAGAGATGACCAGATTGTCAAGCTTGGGATGAGTTTGAGCTTAGGCACTTGAAATTCTCTCTTGTTTTGGGTGTCCCTGCTTTGCAGAAAGTTCATCGTGTGTACTGTCGGCTAACTGAGCCATCTTACCCCATGAGATTCCTAGGGCAGGCATTTCCAGATTAGTCCATGTATGCAATCAAGGGTTGGAATTCAAGTGGGACTAATAGGGACATTTATTGAGTGCCACTTATGTGCAAAGCACAATAGCCAGGTGCCAAGTCTTCTTGAGTCTTTATGCCATCCTATCTGTCTCGTTCACTTGGTACAGGAGTGGACACTCCACAGATGCTAGAGAGGTAATCTTCAGATAAATGAAAACTTCTCAGTCCCTGGGCTGGTGAGCTGGCTCAGCGGGGAAAGGTGCCTGCTGCCAACCTTGACAACCTGAGCTCAGTCCTTGGGACTCACAGGGTGGAAGGAGATACTGAGTTTCAAAAGTTTTCCTCCAACTTCCACATGGGCACCATGGCATATGCAAACTCAATCTTAATAGTTCTGAGCTTTTGGAACGCTGAGGCTGAAGGCTCTAAGTTTAAGGTCAGTCTGAGCTACAATGGAGAAACCTTATCTTTAAAAAAAGGAAGAAAGCTCTAAGCACGGTGGTGATACACATCTTTCAGCTTAGCACTTGGGAAGCAGAGGCAGAAAGATTTCTGAGGTCAATGGCAGCCCGGTCCACTGCAAGTTCCCGTCTAGCCAGGGCTACATAGAGAAAAGGGGGCAAGGGGCAGAGGAGCCTCTCCAAGGCCCCGTGACTCCAGTTTTACAGATAATAACCACTGAGGCTCAGAGTAGTCAATAAATAGTCACAGGTCACACAGTAGGTCAGAGTCAGAATCCAAACCTAGTGTGTCTAGTTCCAAAGCTTGTGCAGCTCCAGCAGCTGAGGCACTGGCCTCCTGTAGACCTTGCTGCCCACAGGAGCTGTGGCTGTTGGGAAGCCTCTACTGGAGACGTGTTGGCTCCACCAGGATGCTAGGCAACCGAATGAGAGAGTCCATTCATTCAACCAATATCAACTGAGTGCTTACTGCCTCGGGCCCAGCTGTAATCTGTGAGATATCGTGACGGTGGACAAACTGAGGCACGGCCTTGCCTTCTTGCAACTTGCATGGAATAAATAGTCACAGAGATAAATGTCTAACCATGGTGTTATGAGAACCTGTAATGAGGAACTTGCCTCTGAGATGACAGAATGACCCCCACTGAGCTGACACGAGAAGGTCCTGCCGGGGCAGATGAGGGACCAGGCTGAGGAGGAGCCACATTCTCCACAAGTGATACTGCTTTCCTTTCAAGCTTCTGACCCTCTTCCTCCTTGCAACATCTTCCTGTCTCATCTAGACACGCATTTATTAGCACTCTCCCACTGGTTCTCATTTGTCATTCCCTGTGTCCATCAGATAGGCAGATGCTATGGACCTGGGCACTGGGGAAGGCAAGAATTGGGGAGGTCAGTTGCCTGAGGCTAGCTATGTATCAGGGCTGGACCAGAACTAGACCCAGGGTGCTGCCAAGGTCGGGGTTCAGGGAGCCTGAGATATTGGTGCCTGCATGACATCTCTGACAGTTCTTCCGTCTGCTGGTCTCAGGTGAGAGCTGCCACACAGATGGGACGTTTGCCTACGATGCCGACCTGAGCTGCTGCAGCTCCTTGTGAGTATCAGCTTTGTCTGGGATGCCACATTTCCCTCCCCAACCCCACCCAAACTCCTCTAGAGCACATGGGGGACAGGGACCCGAGCTTGATTTGTGTTGAGGATGGGAAGTAAACAGAGCTCCAGGCTAAACCCTGGGAGACCTAGAGACCTGAGACTACAGAGATCTTCAAGTCTCCTAGGTTTAGTGGTCTGCAGAGTCCAAAGTCACACCTAATGCTCGAAGCTATGTTGGTATAATAGAAAATCCGGGGGAGGGTAGGTTTACAAAGACAGAATTGGTTATCTTGCCTTCTTATGCAAAATACAAGTGTTTGGGACCTCCTGGTCCTACGGACCTTGGGCCTCTCTTCCTGTCACAGCTTCATCTTCACCATCGTCAGGGTGACCTCATGGTCCAACCATGCAGCAGCACACCAATGGCCTCTTGAAAGACTTTAGAGAGGATGGAGACCAGGGAATACCATAGAATCACCATGAATGCTCACGATAAGAAAAGCCCTGGGTTCCAACCCTACAGCACATGTGTGTGTACCCACACACATGCACACACACACCATCAAGCTTACACTTTAGAAGTCAAAATTTGGCTGCTTGGTCAGAACTAGCTGCAAGCAAGGCTAGGAATATGTAGACTAAAACAGCATTTGAGAGGCTGCGGATGCGGTTCCACTGGTAGAGGTCGTCCCTGGCCACGCACAAAGCCCTGGTTCGATCCCCAGCACTGCAGACCCTGATACACACCTGTCATCTCTGCACTCAGAAGGTAAAAGCAAGAGGACCAGAAGTTCACCCTTGTCCACATAATGAGCTCATGACAAACCTGGGATATATAAAACCTGCCTGAAAATTTTTTTTATAAGAATTCTGTTAGAAACATTGCCCATCCCAGTTTTCTCAGGACTGAAGAGTTTCCCAAGATATGGGATTTTCAGTTTAAATCCAATAAAGCCCTTGGTAGACCTATGGTATTAAGATATCCTGTTCCTGTAAGGATTCTGGTGTTGGCAAGTAGTGGCCCCTGCCAGTGGCCTGTGCCCTACTCACTAATGTTAATATTGGCACTACATTTGGCTTCCTGAACCCATGTGTGCACAAACCATTCCATAACCAACCTGATTTGGCTGAGGAGAGCAAAATGACACTAATGACACATTTGCTGAGCGTGCCATGTGCTTGCATTGTACATTAATGGCTTTTGTTAGTTGCTATGTGGCTAGTTATCTGTTACACGGGGTCTATAGTCTGAATTGCTTTACAAATGTTAGTTCCTGTCATTTCCACAGTGACACCAGTCTTCATCATCCCATTTTACCAATGCAGAAGACTAGGGAAACAAAGTTTAGCATCCCAAGGGTCAAACACAGTGAACGGCATAGCCCTGGCCCGTGACCAAAAGAATGTGAACTCAGGAGTCTCCACCCTTGCTGGGTCTGTGGTCCCAGCCTGCCAGAGGCGGAAGCCAGAGTGTCAAAAGGTCAAAGCCCAAGCTCAGTGTGGTCATCTTATTTTAAAAGCAGTTAATAAAGAGATCCAGAGATGAGAGAGTGATTGGCTAAGATATCAGAGGCTTTAATTCCAACCCCTGTCACTGCATAAACCTGGCTTGGTGGTTCATGCCTACAACCCCAGCCTTTGGGAGGTTAGAAGCAGAAGGATCGAAAGTTTAAGGCTAATTTCCACTATATAAAGAGTTTAAGGCCATTCTAGTATATACAAGACCCTGTCAAAAACAAAACCTTCCACAATGAGCTGGACAGCCTAGTTTATAAAAAGAACTCAACAAAAAAACAAATGAAAAAAAAAACAAAAACAAAAAACAAACAAACAAAAAGAACTCAACAAGAAGAAAGGAAGGGCCACATGATTCAGCACAGGTGGCAGCCAGCAGTGATGATACCACACTGAGAAGAAGCTTCCTGGGCTATGGGAGAGTCAGAAAGGGGACTCTACCTTATCTAGGAACCAGGAGGGCTTCCTGATAACAGTTGAGCTAACGATAAAAAGGACAGGTTATTCCATGCAGAGGGAACAGCAAGAATTCAGAATAACCAGGTAGGGAGTCCTGTGGCTGTGACACCATACATGAGAAAGACAGTGGAGAAGTGAGAATTCCAGGCAGAGGGAACAGCATGTGCAAAGGCCCAGGGGCTGGGGTAAGGAAGGGAGACCAGAGTGCAGAGAACAGGAGGGTGTTGAAAGGTTTCTGGGCTTTGATGGGCAAGACAAGGATAGGGTATATCGGCCCAGCCACCTTTAGCCTACTTAGGGAAAGGAACAGAGGTTGGTGAGGCTACTTTCCTCTTTTCTCTGCAGCAATGGCTCCCAGGACACATTTGAAGCGTCCTACAGTGGTGCATCCACGCCATCTTTCCACGGCTCCCGCTGCAGCAGTATCGACCACAGCAGCTGGGCCTTCGAGCAGCTACAGGATTACATGGTCACGGTGAGCATGAGTGGGCGGCAGAGGTCTGCAGCAAGCAGAGCATGGCTTGACTCAAGCAAGCACTGCTCAGAGGCCAGGGAAGGAGGTGCAATTAGGAGAGGCCAGCTTAGAGAAGCCTTGACTGGCGTCAGTCTGCACTAAATGTTCTGAGCGCCTCTCCTGCATCTTGTCTTTCATCTCTTCAGCAACCTCAAGAGAGAGGCTCCTTCCTCACCCCAAGTACAGAGGAGGAAAGCAAGAGTCAGAGAGATAATGACCTCCTGCCACCACAGAGGAGGCCACCAAAGGACTGGGGCTCAGGAAGCTGGACCCATATCTCATTTGTCTTAGTTAGGGTTTTACTGCTGTGACAGACACTATGACCAAGGCAACTCTTATAAGGAGAACACGTAATTGGGGCTGGCTTACAGGTTCAGAGGTTCAGTCCATTATCATCAAGGTGGGAACATGGCAGCATCCAGGCAGGCATGGTACAGGAGGAGCCAAGAATTCTACATCTTCATCTGAAGGCTGCTAGCAGAATACTGACTTCCAGGCAGCTAGGATGAGGGTCTTAAAGCCCACGCCTACAGTAACACACCTACTCCAACAAGGCCACACCTCCAAATAGTGTCACTCCCTGAGCCAGGCATATACAAACCACCATACCATTCCGAGATGCAAAAGAGCAGATGTTGTCCCCTCCAGTGGACAATAGAAGATTTTTCGGGCAGGCCGGGCCTGACAGGCTGCCAGAAAGAAACTCAGCATTTTTAGCAGAAGTCAGGCATTGTTGCAGTCTGGATCTGGTCTCCAAGGGTACCCTTACTCCCACAGCTGCGGAGTAAGTTGGGTCCTCCTGAGATCCAGCAGTTTGCGTTACTGCTACGAGACTATCGCCTGGGGCTGCCTATCCAGGACTACTGTGCAGGCCTCCAGAAACTCTATGGGGACCGTCGGAAGTTCCTTCTCATTGGTAAGCTGGCTCCCCCTTGGCTCCAGTCATCCCCAGCCAGGCACCACTTGGGACCACTTTGTTCTTTGAACCCTTAAGGCACAAGATTTTAAGAACCTGGACCTGAGAAGGAGAGCAAGAAAGAATGCAGAAAAGGGAAAGAAATTGCCAGGAAACAGCTGGTGTGAGCAAAGCCCTAGGGTAGCAAAGCTGGTCAGGGTGTGATATCACACACACCACTGAAGAGGGTTGCTAAGTACCACAGGAATAGCACTGATAGCACAGAAGCATGTATGTTTTTGCAGTTGTCATGATCCAAGCATGCTCATAGACTGTCCCCACTCCTGAGAAGTAAATAGTGCCGTCTCGTCCCCACTTGCATGTGGAGAGGCCGAAGCTCAGAGTAGCAAATTAAAGTAAGAATGTCAAAGACCCATAAAGGGACGCAAGTAAATCTAATGATAACGGGGCTCAGCGTGGGAAGTAAGTTAGTACAGTGGCACCAAATCAGGCACACAGATCTGCTGTCCAGGTGAGAAAAGTGAGGACTGAGTAGCTATTTAACTAAGGTAAACGGGAGTATATCCTTAAGAATATACTAAGCTAGCAAACAGGTGGGTAGTCTTGTATCATCTGCTGTTTTGAGAGGTTAAAAAAAAAAAATCTTGGGTAAAGCCACACCGCCAGAGATGGGACTTGAACTTAGACTTCCAGAGAAAGCATTCCATAGCAGACTCGCTGGATGCTGGAGTCACCTTGCCCTTCCCCTCTAGGGATGCGGCCCTTCATCCCAGATCAGGACATCGGCTACTTCGAGGGCTTCCTGGAGAGTATGGGTATCCGCGAGGGCGGAATCCTCACCGACAGCTTCGGCCGCATCAAACGCAGCATGAGCTCCACGTCTGCCTCTGCCGTGCGCAGTTACGACGGGGCGGCCCAGAGGCCCGAGGTGCAGACCTTCCACCAGCTGCTGGCCGATATCACGCATGACATCGAGGCACTGGCCCCCGACGACGACGACGTCTACGAAGATGTCTCCCCAAGCGGGGGCGACCAGGTTGAAGACAACTACCTGTAGCTCCGCGGCACACTTGCCCATATGACACCATCCCCAAGGTGCCTAGGCTCCTGGGTTCCCATCTGTGCCTTCTTTCACTGCAAGTGGGTTCGCAGGGCTTCAGTCCCTGCAATACCGAGAAAATCCTGCAGAGGGCGGGAGAGCCAGACTCTAGAGTGTTCTTCAAGTTAAAGAATCGCTCCACCTACTGGCCGACAGAAAAGATTTCCAATTCACGCCCCACTTTCTGCAACCCTGCCCAACCCCAAACCAGAAACATTTCCAGAACCCAGAGACTTCTCTCTTTGGGGGGATTTGTTTGTTTGTTTTTAAGGGAATGGATATGAGGGATCGCCAGGTCCTTGGATATCGATACCAATTTCCACATCTCTATGATAATTTCAGCTCCGCCCTTCCTCACAGGTGGTCATCGGGAAGAATGGAGGGCAAGACCTTAGCGTTGGACCTAGCATGTTGTAAATGCTCAATAAATACTGTTTCTCTCCGCTTGGATTGTTTTCTGACTCAATGTACCTGTCGTTCCTGGAGCAGTATGTAGATTGAGATGTTATAAAGACTAGAGGAGTTTACAGCTTGAGAGGAAACAGAACTGGCTTTCACAGTGGTCTTATAGTCTGGCTCTGTGCCCAAGCCCCAAACAAAGCACAGGCAGGACTCTGCAGACAGACAGCCTGGGGCTACTCAAAGAGCTATGCAGGCAGAGCATAAGCTATGGAGGTCACTGAGGCCAACACTTGGCACAGCCTCGGGAGGACAGTGAGCCTTGAGAAGAGGCCAGTGACCTCTAGAAGAGACCAAATGTGTCTGCAAAACCTTGCTAAGCCTTCCACAGCCAAACATTTTCAAATCATGTGATCACTGGGACTTAGAGTTCCAGATTCCCACTGGGACCGTGGCAGATGACCATCCCCTAGTCACTGGTCCATCAAGGTTCCCCTGATGTTCTGCTTCATTCCTTGCTTGTCTACAGACTCTTCTCCACACCATGACCCCTAGCCCCAACATACCAAAACTTGTCTACTTAAAATGCACGATACTAGGCTGCAAGATAGTTCAGTGAGTGGGAAAAGTACCTACCACTCAAGCATGGTGGCCTGAGTTCAAGTCCCTAGTACCCATGTAAAAAGCCAGTGTGGTCATATGTCTGGAACACTAGCTAGGGTGCGGGGTACGGAGAGCGTGACCAGCTAACAGTAAGCATGAATGAGGGACCCTCAGCCCGGGGAGATGGCTCAGCTTGTAAAGCACTTGCTGCATGAGCCTGGCCACCTGAATTCAAGTCCCCGGACCCATATAAAGGTGGAAGGAGAAAAGCAACTCATAGTGCTGTCCTCTGACCCACACACATGAGCACGGTGGCATCGCCACCACCCTGCACATACACAGACACATATGTTAATAATAGTAATTTTAACTAAAAAAGAGAGACCGTGTCTTAACAGGTAAGGTACAGAGAGATCTAAGAAAACTAACCTCTGACCTCCACATGCATGCAGCCTTTCCCCCCCACACACACATGCACATACACACACAATGCAATGCCATGTGCACATGAACACAGCATAAGTGGTATTGGAATGGGCTCTTCTTCTTCTTCTCCTTCTTCTTCTCCTTCTCCTTCTCCTCCTCCTCCTTCTTCTCCTTCTCCTCCTCCTCCTTCTCCTTCTCCTTCTCCTTCTCCTTCTCCTCCTCCTCCTCCTTCTTCTTCTCCTTCTTTTTCTTCCTTTCATAACATTTGATGCTTTCCTATCTGAGGTGGTCAGTGGTGTGGCATCATGTTTTGTTCTTATTTTTGATGTGACCATCTTGTTATATAACAGGCTACACCCAATTCAAGATCCTCCTGCCTCAGCACTTGAGTGCTTGATTACAGGTATGCTGCATCATGGCTGGATCACTCTGTAACACTTTTAAGACTTAGCCATATTACTGTGAGGAAACCTAGCTCAATGCATTCAACAGCCACCAGCTCTCTGAAGCATTTAGCATTCCCTCTATTCATCCGACCCCAATCCGAAGCCCAGTTTGCTTTCAACTCCCCCTTACCACAAACACTGCTGAGATGAACACCTTTGTCGCTAGCCCTTGTGGACCCACGTGAAGAGTCCTTTGGGCTCTGCCAGGAATGGAATTAGTAGACCCCAGACACATGTGTTTAAAGTTCACAGACCCCTTCTAGAATGGCCCATCTACAGCTTTCGAGTAATGCTGTTGTCTTGTACATTTTCTATAAAGCCTGTCTCTAGTCGTGGTCGTCAGTTTGGATGTAGTAACCGAGCAGGACTTGGTCTCAAAAAATACACACACACACACACACACACACACACACCAGACAAATACACATATACCACACATTCTTGCAATTCTGTGTTTATTGTGAGATCTCTGTTGTTATTGTAGTTGTTTTTGTTGTTGTAGTTGTTGTTATTGTTATTGTTGCGACACTGTCTCTTCTAACCCAGGCTGCTTTCAAACTTCTGGTCCTCCTAAGTTCTAGGATCAAAGATGAGAGCTGCTGCTGCCTGGTTCATGGGATGCAGAGAATCATGAACTCCGGGTGAGCATCTCCTAAGTACTTCCAGCCTAATCCTGGGATCTGGAGCCTGCTCCCGTGCGGACTGGACCTTGGGCTTCCCCTGCTATGTGTGAACTGCTCCTTTGGACTGTTTGCTCACTTCCATTGGGTTTCCCACGTTTTGTTTTGTTTTTTAAACATTCATTTGCAAAACTAGTACTCCCATTGTAGATCCGACTCCCTTGTTTGATGTTGGTGCTCCACATACCTTCTCCCAATATGTTGCCCATCTGTTCAGCTTCTAGCATCGATTGACTAACTTCAGTATGTGCTGGAGCCTCCAGGAAGGCTTGCTAGAGCAGACTGTTGAGCCACATCCCCCTCCCCCCCAGAGTTCCTGACTCAGGAGGGTAGAGGTGGGGCCCAAAGTTCTGACAAGAACTTTAGTGCTGTTAGCGATCTGGGGAACTCATGTAGGAAGTAGCTAGTCCCTGGTGCCTTCTGTTGAACAAATTGGCTCATTCTGCTGAGCTCACTCATTACCTTTGACGTTATCAGGTATCTTTCCTCACTTGTGAGTGAGTGGCCTGGACTCTCAAGGAGGGGAAGTCAGGAAGCCATGTTGCACAGTGATCTGCAGTGTGAACTTAACAAAGTTCTTCTTTTCAGCCTCCAGCCTGCCTTGCCCTGCCCTAAGGGATGTGGCAATATTAGATCCCAGTGGGACCTGAGGCCCCAGGAGTCTTAGGGAGTCGCCGAGGGAAGCAGCCTCTCTTAAAGACCTTGAGCCTTTAAGAACTCAGATTGTTGCTTACAGTCGTAGCCAGGATACCACAGCAGGGCTGTGGGAGGTGCAAGGATGGTGCTTGCCCCATAGCCCTGAGGATGGGGCAATTTCCCTCATAGTCAGGGAAGTCCACACTCGCCCTAGAACGAACACAGTAAGAAAGTGATGTGACCATTTGCTGTCAGATGTCCCGTGGGCCTGGCTGGGGTGACCTAGGCAATGAGCCTAGGAACTCTGGCCACACTTCCTCCTGTATCATGCTACATCCTGCCAGGGTCACTTCCTATCATGGTTCAGTTCCTGGCATCGAAAGATGGGGAAGTCCCCTAGGGTAGGACAGCTGGCTCCAAAAGTCCTCTGGGGATCATGCAAGTGTGGAACTTCATCCCCAGCTGGCACCTCTGGGGAGTTTGATCCAAGCGGTGTGGTAATATTAGTGAGACTGTCCCCTAGATGGAGATCTTACCTACAACTTCCTCCTATTCCTCTGCTTCTGTCCAGCTAGAGACTCCCAGATGGTTTCTGGGAATTTCCATCTGTGTGATGGGGATGAGGCCCCTGCCCTTCAAGCCTCAAGCATTTAGAGAACACCCACTCTGTGACCCGTTTTGTGCTAGACACCAGGGGGAGACAAAGCACATTTCCTGCCAATAGCTCCTGGGTGTGGGTGTGCGTGGGTGGGTATGGGTGGGTGTGAGTGGGTGTGGGTGCATGGGTGGGTGTGAATGGGGGTGGGTGTGAGTGGGGGTGGGTGCATGGGTGAGTGTGAATGGGTTTTGTGAGTGTGTGTAGATGAGCGGGTGGGGTGGGACATGTAGTCTGAAGGGAGAGGTCTCAACACAAGCTGGGCGTGGTGGCACATTGTTGTAAGTAACTTCATCATCTGAGGGACTGGTGTAGGAGGATGAATTTGAAGCTAGCCTAGGCTACGGAGTTGTTGTTGTTGTTGTTGATGATGATGATGATTACAGAGTTTTCTCAGTTATAAAATCAGAGAGTAAGAAACTTTCTCTTTCTGGAGAATCTGGAAGGGACTTTGAAACAGAGGTGATGTATGAGCAAGGCCTTCTAGAACAAACAAGGCTTGCATCAAAGAGACAATGGAGAGGAAGAGTCCTTCAGGCTGGGACCTTGGTGTGGACCTTGGTCAGGAAACTCAAAGAAGCATGGCAGTCGGTTAGACACGGGCACTATGACAAGGATCAGACTGGATGGCTTTGAATCCCACAACTGTCTTCTGCTAGTTGGGTCTAGGAGGGTATATAGCTTAATGAGTTTAATTTACAGAGCGGTATACGGACTTTTAAAAACTCAGCAAATGAACAGTTACTGATGTGCACTTGGTTGTGTTGACTGAAATCATCTTCTGAGTTGCTGGAGAAATGGCAGTTAAAGAGCATTGGCGGCTTTTCCAGAGAACAGGGGTTCAATTTCCAGCACCCACATAACAGCTCAAAATCATCTGTAAACCCAGTTCCAAGACAGTCAGTTCCCAGTTCTGGCATCCATGGGCACCAAGCACATACAGGCAGGCAAAACACCTATACACGTAAAATAATAAAATAAGAACATTTTAAGCTTAGAGAAATAATTTACTATGAAATGCATCTAAACTACAATAACAGCAGAGTCAGCAAAATGGCTCAGTGGGCAAAGCACTTACTCTGATCCAGGTTAATCCCAGGAGCTCAAGTAACAGTAGAAGGAAAGAAATGTCTCCTCAAAACCATCCTCTGACCGCCATACACTCACTGTGGCATGCCTATACACACAACCCCATAGTACACACAATAATAAAAAAAAGTAAGAAAGATAAATTGGGAATGAAGAGATGACTAGGGGTTAAGAGCATTTGCTGCTCTTGCAAAGGACCCAGGTTTAGTTCCCAGCACCCACATGACTATTCACAACTACTTGGAACTCTGGTCCCCTCTTCTGACCCCAGAGGCATCATGTGCAGGCAAAAACACTCGTACATACAAGAAAGAAATAAGTAAATGAAGCCAGGTGTAGTGGCCATTAGCCCCAGCACTTGGAGCAGAAGCGGGTGGACCTCTGTGAGTCTGAGGTCAGACTGGCTTATATAGCACGTTCCAGCTGGCTGGGCATAGAGTGAGACCCTGTCTCAAAGAAGAAATGACACATTGGAAGGGATGCTTGGCTCAGTGGCCGAGCTCTTGCCTGG